ACGAATTGAATGAATTCAGTATTTCTTCGGAGGATGACTTGTCAGCAAAAGTACAACAAATAATCAGTATTTAATATGCAACTAATCCAAAACATCTCACGATTTAAATCAGTCCCCGTGACATTACCCACACTCAGTTAGTATTTATGGACATACTGTATGTGTGCTTATAGTTCAATTTGTGTGACTCTGCAGATATTTATTTTAACTGCCAGCTTAATATACTCCCCATGTGCTGAGCTCTAATTTTAAACATGGTGCTAAATATACAGACAGTTTCCGAGCCAAAAGCAGAGATAGCTGCGTCATTGTGTCTGTCAGAGTCGAACCCTGGAGAAGTCCGAGCGAGGATCACTTGATGGGAACACCTTGTTTATGCTGCCATCTGCTGGCCGATGCTGCAGGACAGGTGGTCTCCATGGCGACGTCAGATTACATGTTTGGATAGTAAGGATGGGCAAGTAGGTCGAGTGATCTTGATAATGGCATCGTTGTGAAACCAGGTCACAGGGAAGCAGAGAGTGTTTAAAGGGCTTACGGATGCACTGAATAATGATGTGATCAGAACTCTGCAGTGGATTCATGTCTTCTTCTCGCTTCACTTGGTTTATTCTACATTCGCTCTCAAAACCCCTGGAAAAATGTGGAGGCAAAATATATTTTCTGACCTGAACCTAAAACTCAGTTTTAATAATATAATAATTTGCTATCCTAAAAATATCCAATATTCACGTGGTAAATGCCGTTTATTTCTGCAATAAGTAAACTAGTTTGTCTTTGACACTATGACGCCACAACCTCACTTCTTGTCATACTAAAAGACTAATCAAATAAATACAATTAATGCCAATATGGACAAATAAAAGTTGTTTTTGTTCTGGTCAGCAAGGTAATCTCTGTATCTATCATTCTTTAATAGGGATAACATTTTAACTGTGATTTGGACAAAAAGGCCCTGTTTTAACTGCTGAGATTGGGGACAGAAGAATCTATTATTTTCCCGACAACATCCACAAGATGGCGCCCCTGATCAAAGTAATGTTCTGTGGGATATCTCCACTGGGAGCTGTTTTTTTTCTTCTTCTTCTATTAGAGCTGCACTTTAAAATACTTCTTTAACAGAGCAAAATGGTAAATGTGTTCGAGATAAAAAATACAAAGGAAATTCAAAATAAGTGCCTGATCAAAACCCAGATATCAATCCCAACCTTTCACCCATCGATACATTAAATGAAACAACCCACATTCGTACTCCTATAATGAGAGATGAGAAACCTCAGCATTTTCTGATGTAACTGGATTTCTGAGAAGCTTATGGGCCTTTTAGGCTGTGTCAGCAATCTCAGTCAATAACCACACTGAAATGTGCCGTGGTAAATAATGCATACTGCATGTTTATCGTAAATACTTTAGAGCCTCTAATTTCATAAATGATTAAAGTGCTAAGAATGTTTTACTCTATGTTGTGATGGAGTAAATATCCCCTGAATTGTTAAAGTAAAATGCATTGCGATTTGAGGTACATTTTTCCCAGTTTTTTATTTGTAAATGTAGTCTTGTGGTCTGTGATAAAACTTGAGGCGAAGAGCCAACACGTCACCCAGAATTTACAGCAAACATAATGTATACACCGCAGTAGATAAAATGCTTTTACTACCTTTTGGCACAGTGCACACTAACACTTGAAGCTGAGATAAAATAAACAGAAACCTGAGAGTCAGGAAAACAATTGTAAAAGTTCAGCAAAAGCTTCAGAAAGAAAGTGGAGGAAGGACTTGGTGTTTATCTCTCTCTTTCCTGTCCACTATAGTATCTTTTGTGTTTTATTTAAGTTGTAAGCAAATGTAAACACCAGGCAGGGAGACAAGAAGGAATGTAATCATATTATGTATAGCATAACTCCTACAGTATACTGACATAGAAACACCATAATACTCTAAATCCTAACTTGTTGATCACCATCCTATCCAAGTACAGCAGTGACCCAAACCTAATCATCTGTTCGTATTGTTGTTGGCCTTGTGTTACTCTGCTCTTTGATTACTTTAGTTCTCTTGGCTCTGCAGAGACCCTGATAACGAAATGTTTTTAGCTAAAATGTCTCTGAATTGTCTGCGCAAAATCTCAGGCATTCCTGATATCATCTGTGAACCGATAAGTAAAGCTTTGCACCAGATATTAGATCTTGGTAAACAGCTTTTGGAAAACTCTACAAAAGCTTTGTCATACATGTGGCATGCACACATCTTGTATACGCAGGTTTCATTCAAATAGTACACCCAGGTTGCATAAAACATACAGTAACACATAAGACACCTACCACACGCATTCAAACAGTCTTGACAATTACAAAAATGTAAGTCTTGAATCTACTCACGTACTCAGAGCGGACGATCTCATGAATATTTGTCTTGTTTGTTGCTCCTTTTCGCCCCAAAACTGATCTCATGTTGATTTTGGTGAGTGTTTCAATGAGTCAGATCCTATTATAGACTTAATAAACATATTCAGTGTAGACATTGGTTCTCAGAGCTCGTCTGTTCTGTTTATACTGTTGAAGCCTAACGTTTATGTACAATACAAACATTCTTTAAGACAAATACATGAAGGAAATTGCTTGAATATTGAGCTAGGAGATGCTTAGCCTATAGCTTAGCATAGAAAGGAAACATGATAGATGGCTTGTTTAATCTGTCATGTAGCCAAAGTGCTAAAACAACACTGAAGCTTTATGGAGTGTCACCACCAGCTTCTCAGGAATCCGGTAGAGACTCCAGGACTTTTTACACCCAGCTGAAAAAAGTACTTTATTGCACAGAAATCCTAGTAAATCCACACATTGACATTTTTACACTTCATTTAACTTCAGGCACAAAATCAAATAGACATATATCCCCAAATGTCAAACTTTTCTCCGAAGCAGCAAAGGCCCTATATAGTGTACTAAACTGAGGTATGAAATTATGAATTCAGCTTTTTATTTGTAAGATAAATAATATGTAATTTCTTCTTTCAAGCAGCTTACTGAATATGATGTCGACTCGACTAAATCTCGTTAGTTAGACTTTTATCTGAATGTAAAGACTGTGCTATTGAGTATTTACTCTATAGGCTTAATGTATCAATCAGCCTCTGACTCCCCAATTGTACCTCTTTATTTTGATTAAGATTATAATTCAGTAAGCATTGTGTATTCATGGGATGATACAAACATATTTTCGTTTAATTGTCCTGGTTCAGCAAATGCCCTACAGAGCGCGAGCATCGATTTAGAGAACCTTTGATTATGTGTAATCAAAGTGATGTGAATGTCAAGCTTTTTCTTAATTAAATATCAATCATTTTAATTCAATCCGTTTCTGATCACTGAGGCAGAGGGTTTGGTCTGAATTGAATAAGCAAAGTGGGAAAGGGCAGTTCAATCTTAATAGCTTAATTTGCTAGTGAAAGGAAATGAAAGCCAGCGTTTATTGCTAGGAAAAATAGAGTCTGCCTTTAGTCGTAAATTATTAAGCTTAATGTGAACAATAAAATGGGAAAGGTTGAATGAAGCCCTTTTTTGCATGGTACCCCTGCTGTCACGTATACTCATTTTCACCATGTGCTGGCCACATTTCCTTTCCTGTATGAAAGAACCACAGACGTTCCTTACATAGAGATCCCAGAGTTTTATGTTTTTTCCGATAATTTCAAGATAGGTGTGAAATAATGTGCCATCTAATCTGAATCACATACAAGTGATATGTAGAATATTGCTGCTTAAAGCTCATAATAAACAAAAGATTGCTTCATTTCTTTAAAGCATGAAGATGTTTGTGTACAAAATGAACTGCACCTGGATCCGGGAGCATATTATTTACTGTATATTGAAAAGACAGATGTTGGTGTGCCTGTTACTTACAGAAAGCACACACATTTAATGACACCAGTAGTGAGATTTATTTTGAATGACGTGCAGAGGCATTACTTGTCAGAAGCCCTGTATTTAAGCCTATTAGGCCTTCATATTTGAATATTAAACTCTTGATAAAGCACACTCAAATACTGCTGTAATTAAACATTAATGTGTGCATGATCATGTGCATAATAATGAGACAGACTGCACTATTGAACTAGGTCAAACTCTGAAACCTATTATTCAGATACCTGATTTAAGACCAAGGCGGAATATGTGTAAAGGGAAGAGAAAAAGACAACCACAGAACATTTTGGTTGACAGTTACAAACCGTGTTGTTATCGTGGCTTGTTGGGTCCCATCTACAACATGGACAATGATAGCAGTCTTTAATACTAATTGAAAATCTCATGTTAGATATTTTGAATTTCGTGTTCCTAATTAGCCAGGTTGCTTGTAATCACTTCCGATTACTTTAACCTATGCATTATCTGGAATAATGATGGTGTCACTTACATAGTATAGTAGTCACTGTGTTTGTGAGCTTGTGTGTGTTTGTATGCGTGTGTACGCCACAATCAGTTATTTTCTGCATGAGACTAGCAAACCTCCTGTAGATAATGAACGTGTGTAAGAATATCCTGCATGTTTGTGACAGCTTGCATGTTTGTGTGTGGGTATTCGTGTGTGTGTGAGATGTGAGGATGCGTGTTGACAATGTGTCTGCTGGCACACATTTTGTGTGTACACTGCTGTGTTCCAGCTGTCTGAGAGGATAAGGCTCAGTGGGCGGACAAACACTGCAGTGAATGTCACACACTCTTACAAACACACACACAAAGCGGTGGGCACTGTGCTATAATAGGGAGTGTCTATGGGCATCTACGTACTCAGCAGGGGTTTGACAGGAGCACGGATCCCAACTTTAATGAAATGCACTCAATAAATACAGATGATATAAGTAAAAAAACTATAAAACAATATTATACTATGCTGTGTCAGTATGACACTTACAGTACTTACCTGTAGTCGAAGGATACATGTTATTCTTATATTGTAGATACAAAATGTAGTGAATCCAAAGTTTTTAGTTTTTATACATTTTTTTATATTTTTTAATTTTTTTAACTTCCATCACACAAAATAACACATTTAGAAAGGTGTATCACATGTTTATGAAACAAAACAAAAATTATCGACAAACAGTGCTTGGTAGTTTTGTGTCCTGAGGCTTTTTACTGCTCTGAACCCTGGATTCTTGCTGCTTATTGAACTTTTGAGCTGACCTTTGAAATCTCCGAACACTTTTAACCCAATACTTATTACTTTGTCTAATGTAAATGTATATAATTAATTGGCTTAATTCACAAGACTAAACCCAAATAGCTCAATTTTACAGGGGAATTTCCGAACAACATTATGCTGCTAGGTCTTCATTTGAAACCAGCCTCCATCACAGCTCCACCTCCTCCACATCCTGAGCAGCAGTGAAACCTTGGAGCACAGGGTTTAAATGATAAAGTGTTTCCAGCCAGCTCATTCAAATATCATTACCTCATGACACAGATTTTCCTCTAAAAGCAAACTTGGTTGAAATCACACATACATTCTTCTATTCTGGGCATCACAAGACATTTCCCAACACAGAAGAGAACACTTAAAAATATACTTTCTGTAAAATGTACAGTAACACTGATGAGTTGAACTCATTTGACATTTAGATTTAATCAACTTCATATTTTACAGGATCTCCTTTCCTCTCTATGCACAATACGTTGAACACGTCTCCTCCAATAGTCAGTGATAAAAAGAATAACAGCAAGATACTGCAGTAAGTGGGTTACAAATAAATTGTGTAAACTATGTGAATTGTGAGGAAGATGAATAAATCTGATAAACAATAATGTATGTGTGACAGGATCCTTGACAGCTGTTAGTGAAGAGATTTGTATCAGTCTGTAGAAAAAATTATAGCCACTCATCTATAGGTGAGTTTAGTGTCGGCAGTTAAACATAACAACTGCATGCAAGCATGTGGCCTGTCATGACGCTGGGTGTTTTATGGCTAACATCAAGTGTGTGAGAACCACACACACTTAAAAACACTCGGTGACCTCAGTACTTCACAACATCTGCACTTTTCTAATTTTGGACATCTTAACACTGAGTGCCACACAGGCAGAGTTCTTCACATCCCAGATCAACCCGTACAGCACCAGTAAGTCCATTAGCTTCCATTAAGCTCCCCTCATCGTGTATAGGACCGCTGCCAGTTGTAAATGGCATGGATATTATGGGAACATTCTGGCACTCGTTTACACGTACTGACGCTGCGGTTGCGGAAAGTCCTCCCCGCTGCGCCTCCCCCCAGCCCCCTCCTCCTGGCAGCGAGCTGCTTAGTTCTCTCTTCTGCAGCGAAGAAGTCTGTGGTCGCCCTGAAGAACTCCAGCAGAGCTTTGTGGCTCCAGCTGATCTGACAGCTCCCCATCCCACTGCTTGGTGCGGCCACAGGACCGACTGAACCAGATGCCCCAGCGTGGCTTCCCTCGGACTGGGTGGAGAAACCACAGTGACCACCATGGTCAGTTAGGAGGAGGAAAAAATGTGGGTTTGTCTCAAAGAGTTCCAAGGGTATTGTTGATTGGGCGTCACCACGGATCGGGTCATCCTGTGCGCACACACTCAGAACAGGAATAGCCACTTCGTCCACGTCTCTCAAAGGTTCATTGCGTTCCCAGTAAACATCCCAAGTAGCTGAGGTATTGCAGCTACTGCTCGTCCCCGGTGGTGCTGCTGTCTGACAGAACAACGCCTCCTCCAGGTCACGCAGGGAACAGCTGGAAAACAGGGTGTCCGTCTGTATGGTCTCACCCAGCACCGTTTTGTACCTAACCACGTACACGCACACAAACATGCACACAAAAAGAACACAAATTTAGAGATACAACAAGAGGATACCAGTAAATCAATTTTGAAGAGCTGGATGGCTCTCATATTCCCCCGGTGCCATTGATTTGAGAAACTCTACCTGGGTCACGATGTCTCTCAGAATCAATGACTTTACACTGAGCAGGCCATCTGTTGCTATAGTAACCTAATCGTCTCTTTAATTGTCTATGCCTTTCCAGTAAATGGTTAGTGATTACTTGTGTCTGTTTTTCTTACACTGCCTCTGTCACCGTGCCTCCTTTCTGGCTGACTTTAAATCCATACATATATGGTTGTCTCTGTGTAATTTGTCTTCACTGTGATTTTGTATACCTTAAGCAGCAACCTTATGAAGCTTATTTTATATTCTTCACAAGGTGATAAAACAAGCGATAGGATGTGTACGTGCTGCTCCTCTGCACCCTCCTTTAGACATGTAATTACTTGATAGTAATTACTAAAGTTAATTGCTGATACCTGGGAACGTGGCCACAACACAATTTTTAACAAACTATAAGGTAACTGTTGCTAAATGTATTTCAGGATAGACTAAGAACTACCCTACTTGCTGTAATTGTGCACATATTTTTGCTTGTGTAATGAGGGATAGTTGCTGTCATTTTAGTGTGCTCATATTATAGTTGTTTTCATCTCATCTTGACAAAACTTCTGATCCTATTTACAACCTGTCTGATCATTTCCTGTTTTTTGTTTGACAGACATGCAGTGGTGTCCCTGTCATCCCAGCATTAACTTTGGTGAGTGGAATATCATAATCAAAATCATTAAAGATTAAGGATATGTAAAGAGGACACATTGTTATGAGCCATACTTTTCTTTTGGAAGCTTACAAAGTCATGTTCCCTTGAATGTTTGGTTAACCTCATATTTATATTTTCTTTTCAGGTATTATAACCATTTTGCCACATACCTGCTGAGACATATCTTCTGGTAGAGCGCCAACGCCCACTGCAGGGGCCAGCACAGCGCGTTCTCAAACCAGCTCTGACAGCGAAAAACGGGGGACAGGCAGACGGCCGCCGTCACGTAGCTGGATGATCCACACTCCCCCAGGTAAGAGAGGAGGAGGCCCGACCCGGTGCTCTCACTCACTGCATACAGTTTCCCTGCAGGCTGTCGGTGGCGAATGTAGCGCACTGCCTCTCGCAGATCTGCAGGGTCACCGAACTGCTGCAGCTTCAGGGTGGTCAGCGGGGTGCCGTTGTGGCTTCGGCGGTTGAAAACTGCAGGGAGGTAGCCATAGGACAGTGCCGTTTCACACAACTGTGGAGAGATGGGTGGAGAAAATAAATAATAATCTTTCCATATGTCAAAAAAATATTACGGATTGTGGGCGTTTGCTGGAATTCAGTGTTTAGTGTGTTCAGCCATAGGAGTAAGACAAGATCCATCTTTTGTCAATTTTCTTTTTGTCCTGCTGAAAAGGACCTATGATTTAATAAAAAAGCCAACTTAGTGTGAACTGGTTATAATACCACAGAATGAAACAATGCCTCCTTTTAGAAAATGGTTTCCATGTCATTAGACTAAATGCGGATAACACCTGAAAACAGCATGTTACTTCTACTTCTACTATATGGAAAAATAAACAAACAGTCGCCAGGGGAAGTGAGAACTCGGTAACATTACAGGATTAAGTGTTTCCCTCTTTAACTGTGCTGCTTCAGCACTGTTCACTGTAATACTACAGATTGTTTATTTTGTTATAATTTGATGAGACATTGGGGCTAAATAAATGAATGTAAGAAAATGTTATACAAGTAATACCCCTTTCCTGTTCTTTTTTGTAATGTTTAGCATAACTTTATCTTTTCCTTTAAGGCTCTTCAGAGACTGGTTCATAGTTCTGCTGGTTCTCTCTCTGCATGTTTACAGTACATTGTTCTTTACTAGAAACATGACACGCCTGTAGCGGTGTCAGGGAAGGAAAGCAGAAGAAAAGTGTGTTTGTAACATACTTGGTATACAAAAATACATATGACACGTCATCAGAAATGAGTCAGCCCAAAAGGTATACTTTATTATCATAAAGTTGTAGAAATAGCTCTGAAAAGCTCTGTTCCAGTTGCTGAATATCACCTTTTAGAATAAATTATTCAATCCAGTGTCTGGAGACACAAACGGAGGGTTTGTCTGGAAAAAGAAGAGTATGTCAATTATTTGTTTCTCTACAAGCTTTGTAGTCACAAAACAATGGTGGTAGCCTGGGCAAATATATTTGTATTTATATTTGAATATATTTGTGAGATTTCAAACAAGTTTCATAATGCTTTTTAAAATCTGCAGAAATATCAGACTGATTCAGGGAGAGCTGCAGAGTAGTTACATTAAATATTTAGCAGCTGAGAAAGGCTGCAGTAGGATCTTTTTGGGTTGTTTTTATAAAAAATAGGATTTACTCAGCTGAATATGTTGCCAGGCAGTGTCAGAGAGCACTGAGCAGAGCTAATTCATGCATTAATTCATTTGCCCCCTCCTTAATAATTCCATAGATACAGTAGCATTTTGAAATATGACAGGATAGGACGAGCAATTTAAAATTAAACTGAGTCACTTTAGTTCAGCTTTATTCCCAAAGATATTTAGACACATGATGAGACATTCCATAATTTAAAGTGCATATGAAGGTTGCTGAGATTAAATAAGGTGAGCTGGGCTTACGCCTGCGTGCTCAGTACATACAGCGACATTGATCTGATGCACTTTGTGAATAACAGGCATGAGTGGTGAGTAACAACTGGTCACAATAAAAAAGAGCAAAACATTAAAAAAAATACTTTTTGTTCAGAATAAAAAGCTAATTATTGATTGCAATAATGAATACTGTTTTGACAATCAAATACATTTGCCAGCTGAGAGGGAACATTCGTCCAGAGTGCTTACTTAAAGGGGACCTATCATGCAAAATGCACTTTTGTACGTCTTTTATACATGAATATGTGTCCCCGGTGTTCCAGGGAACTCACCAAGTGTCAGAAAACACAACCCTCTCTATTTTCCTCCATACCCAAATCTCTAAAAAAGGGGCTGCAACGGATCTGATCAAAACTGATCCAGATTTGAACACTGTCCTGACGTCAGGACAGTGGCGCTACGGCTATTGGGCCAACTCCACCAATCAGGAGGAGACAGCCACGGCCATTGCCGTTCGAAAGCACTGGAGACGCTGTAGTACATATGCCAGGCCTGTAGATGGTGCTGTTCTCACAGAATCAGCCCTTGCAAAAACAGAGCTAGAAAATGTCAAATTGAGCAAAATGAGGCATGGCTAAAATGCATGATCTGTTTGGTATTTTGAAAAAAAAAAGTATAAATATGCCTTATATAGGTATGGTCCTATACTATATTATTCAAATATAGCATGATAGGTCCACTTTAATGTGACTATTTATTAGTTTTAAATGTAGTAAAGTGATCCATTTCTAATTCTTATGCAGATTAAGGGTCTGGTCCCAAAAGGCTGTGTTGACACTGAATTTGTATTTTTTCAGCTCTGTGTCATTGCAGGAACAGTTAAAAAACAAACAGCAGCTACTCCGGCAGTTTTCTGCCTGAGCTGATAAACTGTCAGCTCTGTGACAAATTCCTTCAGCAGGGACTCCATACGCTGGACAACACGCCAGCTCTCATACACACCAGTGTTCTTACACACACAACAAACACACACACAAGAGGCGTTCTCTTCCCCCACTGAACTGAAACACATAAATACAAAAGGGCTTAAACAATACGTACAACAATATTCCCTTCATGATAATTGAGGGGATCTTCCACGAGTCCACCTCTTTTATTAAACAAACTCCAGGAGTTTCATCTCGACTTGTTGCCACAAATCATGTTAAATTAAGGATGTTATTTAATTAGAAGCCTTTTAGAGGCAACAAAGCATCTCAATACAATGAGCTGTCCTCTATTCAGGTCAATAGTTTCCCTTAATACTCAACAGGCCTGCGATACTTTTCCAGGTAAAACAGTTGCTCCTCTGAGGTGGTAATGTTCAGGAGTGCAGCCAACATTTAATAAATAAGTTATACAATTAATTAATTAATTAATACGTTTTTATTTATTTATTACAATTTAGTTGAAAGATGTTGATATTGAAATGCATACATAGTGTATAGTTTCACCCAGCATTACATGTAGATGTCTTCTAAATATTTCCCTGCTCTGTTGATAAACTTTGCTAGAAAGTTGCTAAAAGTTCAAATAATCAGATCATTTCTAGTTTCACAGTTACTGTACGTGTTATATATTACATGCTATCCTCATAGAGAGTTGCTTGGCAGTGTCTGAACCTGTATTCATTGCATCAATATAGTTGGTTTCTTCTTTGACCCTTTGCATTTCAGAAGACAACAGGGGTTTTTCTACTTTGAAATAAACAAGCAAAAATAAGCATGATTTTTTCTTTTTTTGTGTCTTGTGAACGTTTACAAATGGACTTTAAAATACACTGTGAAGTTGCAAGACAGTCTATTCCTCTGGCTGAATTTCAAACGGACAAGTATCATAATCAAGCATTCAATGGGCATAATAGCTATCTATTATTAAGGATATTTGCCACAATAAACATATCAAGAACTAAATTCCCAACCATTTTTCAAGCTATAGTTGCTCCTGTTTTACATGCCTCATAGAGTGTTTGTCTTATTGGGCTTATTATAAAGTGAAGTGATGTAAATAAGCATCTACTTCTTCCCTGCTTGGTAAGGAAGTTGACTTTTTGCATCTATTTGAAGACAGAGCATCAGTCATGAGTCATAACAGGAGTGCTGCCAAAACCAGAAGGGCTATTGGGGAATATTCCAGGTAGTGCAAGGCACGATTTGGAAAAGTGTTGGGGCAATTTAAATTTTGCTGAACGTCTGGGGAAAATGTCCTCTGTGTCCACTCCAAACACCAAAACCAATTTGATATGAGTAATGTAGCAGGGCAATTCTGGGCTACAAATCCTCCCTATTCCTCCCTTGTTGACCCAATATATACATAAGTATATTCCTATACTTTCAAACTGAAAATCAACTATTTACACACAATCATTGTTTTATTTCAAAGCAATAGGCAACACAATAAGATAACTAACAGTCTTAGTATACAGACATAAGGGGACAGAAAACACAAATCTAATTCCCCAATTGCTTCTCTACTTCTCATTGCAATGTTATATGGACATAGATATCAGGGCATATGTCCTAAGTATTGCTGCTACTGTTACCATCTCTCACTGATCTAGTCATTACGGTTAATGGTAAAACTTTCCCACTTCTACTACATGAGCGTTTAGAGTGTTATCCAATCCTGCAATGCCTTTTGAAAACTCTAAAGCTTCTCTCTCAGCGAGCAGAAAGTAAGTAAAAAGGAATGGTCTAAAACACAATTATGTAAGTGTTGAGTGGTATATTACACATAATGACTGCATATCACACCTCATTAAGAGAAACAAATAGTTTAAGTACAAAAATGATTGGCAACAAAATACTGAATAAATCACTAGTACTAAGTCACACAATTATAGTTAAACTGCTCAGAGGTCGATCTGCTCTGTTAAGAAAGTACTAAGGGTGTTAATCATGAGGCAAGTCTCCAGGAACATTTATGGCCTTTCCACACATTTCTCTAAACAGAGTATGTGGCTCATACACACCCTCAGTATATTAAACTGTCCTTTTTGTGGGACATCTTCTCTGAGGTGGAGGGAAACTATGGTTTAAAATGTAGTTTGTTCATGATTGAGATCAAGAGATTTTAAGAAAGGGTAGCTGTGAATTCAGAATCACTTGGACTTGTACATTTAGATCATAATAATGTTGTGATTTTAAACATGTTGTTACTATTTCTTGACTTTCTTGTTGAAAGTTATGAAAAGATTGTTCGAACTCGTACTGTCATTGTACAGTTAACTGTCACAGTGTAAATAGGAGCTTATACTGCAGCAGACAGTTGGCTCTGCTCAGAGTGGTTTCAATTTTCACATCTAACTCTCCAAGAAATCGAACAAGTGTATTTCCAGAGAGAACAATGGCAATTTTATTTTTGGTAAATGTGTAATACGATTCTATTGTAATGTAATTCACTGCACTGTTGTTGAACTAACTTACCAACTAGCTGAATGACTGAAGAAATACTTAATGTCAGTGTATTCTGTATGTTTTGGTATGACCACACTATATATAACCACCTATACCATTATTTAAAGAGACATTAATTACTTGAGACTACATAAAACAAAGAAGTATAAAACAAACTGAAAGTAAGTATATGAATGATTTAAAAGGAAATGGCTCATTCATACATTCATGAGTGCTGGAAATGTGGCGTGTTAGGAAAAGAAGGGGACAGGGACCAAAGCCCACACACGCTAAATAAAAACCTACCCTTCCCTCTCTGTTTCTTCTCTGTGTCACAGATGGAGGCGTGTGTGTGTAGGCCTAGCAAACATAGCGCTTTTTATCTTTCTCTTGCGACACACACACACTGGGTTATGCAGAACAGTGACAGGAACAATCTTAATTGGTGTATCTCCCTTGTGGTGCCTCAGCCCTCCGAGCGTAACAGCTGACAGATTCTCTCTACTCAGATGATGGCCTAAAAAACACCAGACACAGATCCGTCTGAATGTGAAAATTGCTTTTCATCTTTCAATCATATTTTGCGTTTTCCCATGGCCTTAAATCACCACCATTATTTTTTCATTTCCTTTTCTCTCTGTTGTTTCATCCCACTCCTCTCTTCATCCACTACTCTTTGTTTATGGTTTGAAATGAGTTATTAGCTCTAGATTAGTGTCCACCACATTTTGTTTTGTTGGTGTTGAGTTCTTGCAGAGTTGTTATATGACATGTGGCTGACAGGGGAGTGTGTGTGTGTGTGTGATATGAATGAGCAGGCAGAGCTAACTGTATGAGATGAGCTAGCATGATGCCAGGTGCCCAGAGATGTGGAGCAGCGCTTCACTTCCCCAGGCCCCTCAAGTCAAGCGATGCTTTGTAATCCCTCACTCAATTACCTCAGTCAGTGCATTGAAAGAGCAGTTGAAATACTGGTGCTGCCTCCGCATCTGCTCTTTTCTTCCAACTAAGTGATTGCCTTTGGCCAAATGGCCTTTGTTGAGTTGCCCTGGCATCTTCCCACGTCTCTTTTTAAATGACTGAAAGCCTGACTTCTCTTTTGATTAGTTGAGTCTTGCATTTTTCCTCTGAATTCAAACATGATTTGCTTTGTTTTTGTTTAGTATTTCTACACTTTAGCTATGAAAATGTTCACTTCTGCTTTTTAAAGTTTAGAATGGTACTTATCATGAATAACAGGCCCCTGCACTCTCATTACATTACATGTTACTTGTCAGACGCTTTTATCCAAAGCGACTTACATACTCTATACTGTGGACAATCCCCACAGGAGCAATTTGGGGTGAAGTGTCTTGCCCAGGGACACAACGACATGCTGACTGCAGTGGGGTTTGAACCTGTGACCCCCTGATCCCAACACCAAGGCTCTATCCACTGCGCCACACGCCTCCTATCATGCTGCTGCAATGTTCCGCCTGTTGACTCATGCTGTACAACACAGATTGGACACAAAGAGCAGCTACAGAGTCCATGACACAACTGAGGAAGCATCTCATGTGGACATCCTTACCCTTGCCAATAACACAGATACAAATGGGATTCTGTTTTTACTGCAGAGACTATGGACACTAATATTCCCAACCTTTAAATTAGCAGGTTTGTGGACTATTAACGTTTATTTCTTTGCTGTGGAAATTATGATGATCCTTGAGCCATCAGCTGTATGTGTTTTTTGTTATTCTTTAACTTCTATTGAACTTCGTTGTCTTGATCTTTTGTAAGATTGACTGTTCAGCCTTTTGCACGGGTATGATTTACTTAGTTATTGAACTCCTATCATCCCTTTGTTCATTAGTGGAGTCTGTGAGAGAAGCCAAACACGCACCTTTAGCAGATTCCTTGTGATCTTCCCAAAAGAGTTTGGGATGATGAGTAGAACAGGACTCGTGGAGTGGCTGGAAGTCCTGCGTCGTTTCTGGTATGTGGGCACTGCCCAGTCCAAAGCGACCAGCCCCTCGTCGCTCAGCTGCAGGTTGTCCCGCACAAACTGGACCGGGCTGTCGTACGGACAGCACGCCTCATACACACTTTGGAGCAAGGCGCTGGCTCGCCACGTCCACCCGACACACGGCGAGTAATTACTGAAAGTCCTGCAGTGTTTTAAGAGATAGTTGGCCAGTGCGGACGGTTTGCAGATCAGTGCCACGGCGCGTTTCTTCTCGTCCCCCGCCTGGGCACCGTCGCTCCCCTCTTGCTCTGAGACGCACCTCCCGGTCTTGTCAATCTTCGCCAGTTGTGAGATCCCCAGTCTCTGATGCAAGGCATCCGACTGGCTCTCGGTGTTAAAATATTTGAAGCCTGGCCAGATTAAGACCACCAGGATCACAAAGCACAGAGCCACAAGCCATTCTAGCATTGGCACGGTTTGGGAGAGCAAATCAACACAACACGGTCGCTTTCCACACCGTATTCTGGACCCTACGTTTTAATTATACATTTAAATTATCAAACACAGTCCACGGAAACATGGTGCGTCTCACACTGCGTCGATTTTGTCCTAAATTGATGCTCAGCTAGTCTGTGAAGTTTGTTGTTTCCCCGCGGTGCCAAGGCGCACCAGTCCTTCGTCCTTAGGCGTGCTGTCTCAGTTACGCAGCGTCTCTTTTGTTCCAGCTCATTCCAAAAGCGACTTCATTTATCCATTACTGTTGACACTTTGAATTAACGAATTAACGTGATTCATGCATCCAACGCAAAGTGCTTCGCTCGAGCTGTTACTTAAACCCAGCTGCTGGGAGCGCAAGAAATATCTCTGGGCTTTGCAGCGCGCAGCTAGTTGGAAACGCCTCCCATCATGTCCAACCCCCCTCGGAGTGAGCAGGTACTTTACACGTATCTGCTCTTATTAGCCATCTTCTTAATTGGCCTACTTACAGTGCACATACTGTAGTACAAAAAGTACATCTTAATTGTTTAGACAATCTTCCTGAATCTCAGGAGCCTGTCTCTCTTTCTCTTGCTCACTCTTTCTGCCAGAGACATAACTTAAATATCTTCTACTAAACTGTAGTGAGCATGGTAATTATTCATAGATCTCAGTGAATTCTTTCTAAATTGATTTGGCAACAGTTACGTTTGTAACAAGTGTGCAAGAGATTACAAACAAATAAAGTATGAGCCTAATTACGCTAACCTGTTTTTAAAGGGGGTTCTTTGTGGGCACCATGTGTAATGAAACCTGGTAAGCATTTTGATGCATTTTAATAAAACAACTTCAGGGAGGGAAGGGTAAAATGAGTCTATTCCTCTTTTGGTCTCAAAGACAACATTTCCCCCTCGTGTTTAATCACTTTCTGAGACACAGCAACTTGTTGCAGCCTTGGTTGTTATTGTAAAGATACATAAGATGGAATATTAAATGTACATGTATCATGCAGAAACACACCTTAGTGCTCTTACTTTTGTTAGATTTCTGTGCCATCTGTTTTCGAGGAACACTTTCTTTTGGACACTCATTTAACCGATGCCAGCAAAACACTTCACTGCAGTCTGCTGAACAAAAATGTATGTGTGAGCCAAAGAAAACAAACCCAAGCTGAAGTGACAAGGCAGAAGATTGCTGTATAGTGTTTGTTCAAATGTGTAATGCCACACCATTCCTGTAGTTTGGCCATGGGGAAAATAAAATGCAAATGGCTAAATGGGAGAAGCAAACGTTCAGAAAATGAAGACGAATGAGAGGCTGGAAGGATCTTGGTGTCACCTCAGAGACACTTTGAATGCCAGAGCAGAACGGCTTACAGCTGGAGCATTAGAGAGCGGGGGGGGGGGGGGTGTTGTGTTGTGTTAATTGACTCAGTATGCAGTTCCAGACACTGCTCATGAGACACTTCCCATTTGTGCGTGAAAACCATCTGAGTTGTTAAAGCCCTACGGACAGATTATGTCCCGCTGTAATGTAACTTTAGAAGCTCTTTGGTGGTCTAGTAACACAGTTCAGTTGTTCACTTTAACAGGCCGTCTGCACATGTCATTTCCTAAAATGTTATAATGATTTATTGCCCTTCATGCAAAACCTGCATCAACCCATTTTTTTGTTATCATAGATGTGTTTTTTCTTTAAATATCCAGAAACCAACATTTAATGAACATTCCTGATTTCCTCATATGTATGATGAGAGGCTACTGTTTGTCTGAACTGCAGGTGGAGCTGGATTTTCTCTCTCAGTGGTTTTCATATTGGCCTTGACATAATAACATTTGAGCCAAAGCTATAGATAAATGAATGAGAGTCACCAAGTGGAGCACAACCTGTTGAAATATTTAAGGGTTGAAAATCACCTTTTGGTATTTTTTTGGGGAGAATAATTAGTCATAAAAGTCTCGAAACTGTATTTTGGAGAATCACAAGGTATGACCACAGTTAAACATAAAAACACATTATGGATATTTGTCTAGTTACGATATATCTAAACACTTGACTTTTAGGTTCACATACTGTATGGAAGATCACTGAGTCTTAGAGCAAAATATGGTTCTCTACAGCTGTATGTCACAGTATGTATTATTTGTGACAATGTAAATGTTACTTGATTACATTTCTCAAAAGCACTATTTTATGATTTGTTTACATTTTCCCAAGTGTAATTTCTGCATCACTCTCAAAACAGAAAGTATGTGAGGAATAGAGAAAGGAAGCATTCATGCCAGAACACACTCAATGTTTCCAAAAAAGCCCACTAAAGATAAATAAATAACCTGAATGCAACAATACAGTTTGCATTGATAAGAGGAGAAGAACATGTCAACAAGGCCACTTGAACTTTGGGACCAGAACTAAAAGATTAGATAAGGCTAGTACATCAAGGTTTGACCTTTTACCCTGGGATAACTTGGTTGAAGACCCTAGAAACATCACAAGGTTTGTCTTGAAAAAACAAACAACCACTGCTGTCCTGTGTTTGAAGACCCTGACCTTTGTCATTTGGGTTATTCCATTTTTAAGTATAAATTCAAGTGTATGGGGCAATATTTTGTGAAACATGCAGCCCTTATTTCTTTCATTATTGGTATTGTGACCAAACTAGAGGCACATAACCAACTACTGAGGGAAAAGGGTGCAAGGAAGATAAAAAGAGCCTAACCAAATAACTTTCCCAGTCATTGACCCTGGCTAAGAAACTCTGACACACTGACACAAAGCCAAACCTAATCCACAATCAAACATTGTGCTTTGACACAGACACTGAGACACACACAGACATTTGAACTCTTTTCCCTGCGGAGCTGACAGAGGAGGAAAAGTACAGGGCTGAAAAGAAGACGTAGCTTAGAGGTTGCACTTTCTCTCATGATATATTTAATGAATGAGAAGTCACTTGGCCGCAAATCTGCTGAAATGTACACAACTTCACTGTGGCAGATTAGATTAGTTTAGATGTCAAGTTAAGTAATTTTTTTAACTACAATTGCAACCCCAAGTTGTTTGTGGTATAAATAAGTAACCAGACTATAAATGTAACAAAACATTATCTAAATTCTTGAATCACTTGTGCAAATACAAATGTAGTTGAACTACCAGCAAGCAACTGCAAAATACAGTCAAACACTTTATAATGACATGTAGTGCCGTACTCCACAACACTGCTGTCATTAAAACAAATTGGATGAGGCACAATGCCCTATTAAAGTAAGGATACTAAACATGAGCATAAGTAGCAAAAAGAGGAGAGAAGGCTGTGACATTGAATCCAAACATAATAGGACAGAGAGCACACTGCAGTCTCATGATTCATTTGATGTCTTTCAATTTAATTTGTGGGCCGTACCAAATATCCCTCCTCCACATTTTAAATCTAGTTGTCTCTTTGGTGGGGATGCAAACCATCTGTGGTCACTAAGGAGGATTGTTATTTGATTTAATATTGAGATTCTTAAGTCTGACCTCACAGTGTCTCAGTAAAAAATAGAGAGTGCTCTGCTGCAATGTGTCCACCTCCTCCCCCCTCCTCTCCCCTCCTCTCCCAGCTCAGACCCTCATGCCCGGTCACCATGGCACAGCCTTTAACATCAAAACAAACAGAGACTGTGTCATGGCTTCAAACTGATTATTGTAATTCAGAGGAACGGGCGCAACGTCTTGGTTCAGAGCTACTTATGCTTTCTTTTTGACTTTTGTTTGATTGTTTCAGAGGTAAACATATTCAAAATCAGCGAAGCAACATCCCACCAAAGCCATTACAAAAGGGAACGTTTACAGCAAATCACCTCTCACCCCACCTCTGTAACTGCAACCATATGCAGAACTCGTGTTAAGGCTGGCTTTAACTTTTTCATAAACATCTATGAGTGTGGTGTTGCAGAACATGTCCTTCATCTGAACCCTGACTCTGACGCAGGTCTACTGTTGACTGACTCATACCCACGATCAAACAGATGTGTCCACTTCTCTGGGGGAATATTTGATGGGCTGCAGACGTTGATGTTTTTTTAGGCGGTGAATAGCCCATCTAGCCAACATTTTGCACATATAGACCACATCCTAAGTAGCGGTCTTCCTGCCCTATTTGAACTTCCTGTCACAGCGAAACTGTACATTTGAGCCGAGGCAAAAAAACTTCTAGCAGCTCGCTCAGACATCAAGATACATACTGAACTGTACATCAGGTAAAAGCCACACAGTATACAAAGAGATAGAAGAGAGTTGATAAACCATATCAAATGTTTGCAGTGCAAGAGCAGCAGAAGCAACCACCCAGTCAACTTCCTGTACCAACTTCCTAAACATTTCACAGACTTTTCAGACCTTTTTATTCTGAAAGACTGGTACAATGATCAAAACAACAGACAAATAAGCTGGTGATTTGAGGAATAAAGAGACGCTGAGGCAAAAAGTTAGGGAAAAGGAACAAGGGAGAGAGACTTGTACAGAAAGTGATTTGTGGAGTGAGTACAAATGAAAGGGACAGGAAATATGCAGATGCGACCTGACTTCTTTGCCTCTTGACCTTCTCCTTCAGCAGAGACAAGTGAGTTGCTCCTTGGAAAATAGATTAGACGAAAATTACACATCTTTCTCCTGCAATTACTGTGGTCTCTTCCTTTCAACTAAATCCTCAGAAGAGAAGGCAAAACATATGGGGCAACTGTGGCAACCTTCCAAGCAGAAGGTTGTGGGTTTGATGCCAACATGTTGGTGTATCCTTCGGCAAGATACTTAACCACGAGTTGCTCCAAGTTCAAGGTTCAAGGTTCAAGGTTCTTTATTGTCAATCTGACATAGCTACAGAGTAATTATGTAGTTGAAAATCTTATGTCACAGGCTTCTCCAACAATGCAACATAATAACAATAAGAGCAAGAGCAATACAAAAAGAATAATAGTTATAAAATAAAATAAAGTTATGATGTGGAATAGTGCAGTACGAGTCTATATACAAGTTATTGGAATGATATATATATATATATTAGGTATTAGATACATACTACTGAGTAGCAGATGAATGTTTGAAGTTGTTTCAACAGTTCAATTTCAAACAGTTGAACAAGTTCAAACAGTTCAATCCAGATGGCATGGTGTATGCATGTGTGTGAATGGTAGCATCTTTGTGCAGCTGGCACCTTGCATGGCAGCCCATGTCTCTGTAGGAATGGGTGAAGGCTGACTTGTATGTATATGTAAACCAACACATCAATGTACCTTGTTCATGAAAAGCGGTTTCCCTTGATTAGCCTCTTGTCACAAGCAATGGGGGCCTGCACCAACCCACCTCGCTCCCGTCACTATAGGTTTTTGAATTTAATCAGGAATATTATAGAGATTTACCCAATATACTGAGGAAAATTACAATGAATCATTGAA